CGCTTTGCACATTTTCTTATAAAATCAGAATGGATGAGAATCGAATCGCTACATAGTTCGCCGAATTCCTGAGAAGTGGCTCATGCTATTAATGGAAATTATGGAACAAATGTCTCAGTAGTCAAGCGAACAAGAAGATTTATTTAAGTAAAACTTACCATATTTGTACTGCACGATGACTACAGCTCTTTTTTTGATCGATTTGAGCATTACAGGTACAACATTTGAGTTGGCTAATATCCTCTTTTTCGATTTCAGAGCACAGCAGAACCTGTTGGAAAAAACCATTTTTATTACATGTCAAACAACAAAATTGCTAAACCAAATGATATGCATCGCATTCTATTATTTTTTCATTCCAAATCCCACACTTCACTTCCTTCTTTGCAACTTTAGATGGCAGAATTTCGCTATTGATGAGGGCAATTTACACATTAGCATTTTTATAATTTGTCTACTGGACCGTACTACATAAAAGTACAGGAAAAGACGATATGGCGCATTAGATAGGCTTACTAAAGAAAAACGTTGAAGCAGTTTGAACTTAAAAGGTAGTTTATTTTCGCAATAAATTTAAGCATTTTGCATGCCAAAAAAAGAAAAAGAAAATTTAATTGGAAAGAACATACTGGAGATGAGCTAACAGCATTGTTCATTTCTTATATGTGGTGTCCTTTTCAGCGGTTCAAACTGTAAAGTGTGTCACACATAATTAAGTAAATAGCGGCCTCTTTTTTCTTTTTCAAGTTAAAAATTAGCTAAGGAAGCGGAAGTTTTGGCAGCACATTTATGTCGTTTGAAAGAAGAACTCCTCCTCTTCAAGAGGATCTACTTGGTTTATCCAGTGGTTTCAGCTATGTTAAATTAGATATTAATTCGAAAGTTTAGAGACTGAAAAAACTCAACCGACAGCTCTGTTTTTTTAAAGAATGCAATAAGCTCAAATTGTTTTAATGCATCCTTGTGGATAGTTGGATATGTTGGTTACACCAGCATGTCATTTAACCCCAGTAGACCACTTTTCGGGTTAAACCGTGAATTCGACCCTCCACTGTATATCCTTCGTACCTAGTACGGTGAAGTGACGTCTTGTAGCTATCATTTTCTTAATCAGCATAGCTAATGACCCAAATCACTAGGTAGTGTGGGCGAACTTCCGATTCCTTACAAAAGGTCAAATAAACTTCAAGTGAGCTTTTTTGACCTTCTGGAGATATATTTTTGATTAATGTTAGTTACCTCAAAGCGAATTCATTAAACAAATTTTCGTTTTGTAGAAGTAGATTTCCACTATGAAATGATTATGTGCCGCTGAAACATCCGGTTCCGTAGAACATTTTCGACCTTGAAAAAAACGACGCGAAATCATCCGACAACCCGATACACTAAAAAAGTAGTTCTTCAGAATTCTTCAAAGTTCACTTTTAGGTAATCATTTGTCGATTAAGAAATCATGTACTTTTTTGTGTGACATTGTTGATACTTGGCATGTGGTGATGTGTTCCTGTTTACCTACGATTTTGCGAAATGCAGCGATATAATCTGCATGTGACATCAGTGCATACAGTAAAGGGAAGCTTTACCGCATAAAATTTCAGAATCTATTAAAATAAAAGCCGTTTTTTTTGGAATTAGTGTTTATTTCATTTCGGCCTCGTGATCTAGAGAAAGGGCAAATTGAGAACATAGCGGTGGTGCAGTCATGATGAATGAGTTTTGTGAATATTTGAAAGAAGGAGATTACAAATGGATTGAAGGGAAGCATTAGGTGAATGAGTACCAACAAATGGATCTCAACTAGATTTCGAGATGCAAAATCACTTCTTATGTCACTGAAACCTAAAGTCCTTCGTATTATTCATAAGTAAGCAAGAATGCATACATTTTCTGTGCATAGACTGTCGTAGAAAACGCGCCATTAGCTTGAGATTATCAATACTCTTGAGCTGTTACTATCCTGAAACTCACCATGGAAGCACGATGCACTGCGCCCTAAGTTAAACATAGCGAGTATAGTGATTGTAGGATTTTTTAGCGATTCTTCACCTTTCAAGCAATGCCTAGAATACTTTGAGGAGATTGTTTTGTAACCTTTGAAAAAACTCAAATCTATTTCTATAAGTTAAACATAAAGTAGCGCATTACAAAAAGGACAGGATTTAGTAGAATTTCATGGCAAACATCGTGCATTCATAGATTAAACAAGTTTTATGTACCTATCAATGTAATACTGCATATAATCGTAGTCTTTTAGAGAAACTAGAATTTTCTATCAACTGTTAGTCCATCTATGACATTGTTTTTAGCTGATTGCCTCATTGAGCCGCGATATTCCAGCTTCACTTATGGAGCAGCGATTATAGTAAACCACAGCGAGGTTAGATTCAGATAACATTTCTGGATAGCGTTTACTGTACTTTTAAGTAGGTATACTGTGGAGACACTACATACTTAAGGGTTATTCCGCACAATACTGCAGAAACACCATGATAAGACATAACTGTCGCTAATCAGTACGATTAGTATTGCGCAGGAGCCATACATCAAATTGAGGTACCACTACCTTAGGAAGATAATATAATTCAAGATCAAAGCATTAGAAACTTCCTATACTCCTGATTTTAAGAAGACACCTTTAAAGATGTTGTAAAAATAAAGTCTTAGAGAACCTGCGCCGTAAACCGGAATGAAAGCCTCGTGTGCGCAGATGGTGTTGCACGTAGTCCTACTTTCAGAAGCGCTAAGTATTGCTGTTTAATCATCATCAGCTTCAGTCATTGCCTTCTCACATTCTATGTATTTTAAGCTCAACTTGATTCAAGTGATATCACGAAAGATGGATAGGGTTTTTGCACATTCAATCATGGCGAATTCAATTTGAAAACAATCCAGCGCAAAATTTCCGAATTTCCGCTGACATCATATTGTGAAACGGTGGTGTCATTTTTTTTGCATCTTAGCCAGGTTTTTTGTGCTCTAGTTGGGTTCACTGGGCGGCAGTCACAATTGATACAGGTTTAGGACAGTCTGGAATGGCAAACATGGGAATCTGTAGAGTAGCGTAAATAACAGTGCCATGATTTCATCTTTCCACAGTTCACAAATGTGACTAACTGACTGAAGATCTCTGATCGCTTATTTTGCCTTCGAAACGCCGGTGGACGTTAATTCCTTGTGAATGGAATCAAATAAATAACCTTTCAATATTTTTGCCTTGTAAAGTGTTCGTGATCCCTTGCACTTATAAAATTCGACGTGTACTTATGAGTTGCTTTGAAGGCGTCAACCATGATTATTTCTGCAAATAATACCTGCAAAAGTTTTTTATTCATTATATGAAACTGGCTCAGATTCTACCTGTTAATTACCAAATGGTGAAGGAAAAGAAGAGGACACAAAGTTCTGGGACATCCAGGCCATAATTACTGACGTCACAATTTAAGAGGTGTCTCAAAAAATGTGATCAGTGTTCGCTCGCAGATAACTCTCTTGTATTAACACTTTTTCTAGGCGTGTGTGATTCATTTCGGTCGACTAACTTAAACTCAATTTTCTCCCCTAAACAGATCTTGAACCTCTCACTTATCATTGTGGTCTAATTTTGTATGTGCCACAGCAGGCGTGTAACTTTGACCAACTTTTCGTTCAAATGGTTATCATGATGGCTCAGCGTATCAGCGTATCTAAAACTTGCATTTCGTTTGTGGCGTTGATGCTCACATTAGCTCTAGAAGCAAGCACAATTTTACAAAATAATCCTACCTTAATGAGAAGAGGTTAGGGATCAGTTCTTAGATGGTAATTAAGTTTAAGCGAGATTTGGAAAGAGTTATCGATCAAACAATGATTACAATTTTTGGAACACCCTGTATATTGAGAAAACTTAGGATTGCGAAGACAAAACCCCTGCACTTTATATACTGTGTGGCAATAGTTAATTAACTGGTAGAATTTTCATTAGAAAAATTGCTGAGATAATGCTCATTGAAAATGCAAATATTGGATGAATAAGGCTAAAAGTCTTTGTAGTTCAAAACTCAAAGTCTAGGATAGACTTCACAGATTTTATTTTGAAGTCTGCAGTTCCATCGAAATACACGAGTAATCTTTATTTTATAACGGTGGCTGATTAAGAAGCAAAACCAAATATAGAATTTTTGCAAACCGCACAGTACACGTATGATCATTCTTTTGGGCCAACTCTCCAAAACAAATCAAATGGCTCGGACGTTTACCTAT